GCATGAATTATGACTTAAGATATTGATATTATCTGAAGAAAGTATGAGAGGTTAACTTTGAACTGCTCTCAGTGTTGTGAAACTGTGTTATTGATCTTGTATTTCCCAGAATATGACCTAATATTTGTCACAAAAGCTTATGCAACCTGTAGATCTATACTCCTTTTTACTTATACTGTCTTGTTTACAAAAAGATTTCTGACATGTTCTGTACTTTCACCAAAACAGATTTCACATACGTTACATATAAAAGTAAGTGCAGGGTTCTGTGAAATGAGGGTTAATATCTAACTTTAAAATATGTTACATTATTTAAATATGATCATTGGCAAGTTCTGTTAGTAAAAAATAAATTTAAAAAAAATTTAAATTTAGAAAAGGATCATAGTCTAAAATCAACATCAGGGAGATCATGTCTGACATCATGTTTGCAGTGGTTGCAGGGGTCTTCAGATTCATTTATTGCTAATATTTCCTTTTCAGGATTTCGTGTTTTTTACTTCATGTTTGATCCACTACACTAAGGGTAAATAGAAAAATAAAAGGAAGTTTTTCTGTTTTTAAATTTTAATTGTCAGCTCCAAAACAAGATTACTGACCTTAATGTGTATTGTTGCTCAGAACTGCAGGGCAGAAGGCAGGAAACACGATGAACAGGTTGCTAATCCATCACGGGGCTACCTTATTGCTTTTATTAGATACTAGTTATATCAGGGCGTACTAAAATCAATTTTGAAGACTGATGTATGGTAGTGTTTATACACAATTGAAAATTGGCTCGTGTCAATGTAAAATTAACAAAGAATCCAAAAAGATGCAAACAAATACTTTGCCTTGTAAAGTAAAAAAAAAAACATGCTAAAGATGAAATTCTTCTGACATGAGCAAACAATCTGTTATGGCTTTTAAGGTGTTTTCTGTAGCTCTGGATCATTACGTCAGACATCAACAGGATCTGAAGACAAAAACAGCAGCAACAGCAAAATAAAGCAGTAAAATATAATTTTTTCTCAATTTCAGTTCAATTCAATTTTATTTATATAGCACCAAATCACAACACGTATGTATGTGAGGAGCAGGATTTTGAATTCAATTCTGGATTTAACAGGGAGCCAATAAAGGGAAGCCAAAACAGGAGAAATATGCTCTCTCTTTCTAGTCCCTGTCAGTACTCTTGCTGCAGCATTTTGGATTAATTGAAGGCTTTTCAGTGAGTTTTTTGGACATCCTGATAATAATGAATTGCAGTAGTCCATATTAGGACATGCACAACCACATACTATCTGCTAACATGTATTTGTTAGTGGATAAGTGGATTTCCAAGGAATTGTCACTGATTAGAGTGAATTTAAAGAATGACAAGAAAACATCAGTGCTCCAAGAAATATTCAAAATGTCCAGTAAGTATGGATGATTGTAAAAACTCCACTGCTGCTTTTATTGGGTGTGCCATATCAAATATTGAAAGGTGCCAGGAAAATTTCACATAGCACAGCATGCAGTGAGGCAGACCATCGTCTGGATTATTGGCAAAAAAGATTTTACTAAGTAAATGGGGAAAACCCAATTCCCGCACAGATGAAACAACAGTCATGGCGTAATGGGAGATGAGGCTCTTGCTAATATCATCCGTTGGTGAAGTAATTATTAAAATTTAGTAAATGTGGAGTCTAACATGCAAAAAAGGTCTACATGAAGGTGTGTGTATATGACATATTTTCTATTCGGCTGAAGCCCTGTAATGGAAAACATATATATATTTATCAAAATGTGATTTAAAAAAAAAAAAAAAGCTGTGAAGAAATTTGAATCAGTGTATTTTCATTCGCTATCTTCTTGTGGATATAATTATTATATTTATGAAGCAATCATAATTTATCAAGCAATATTTGTTCATATGGCTCAGCTAATATGAAACTGAAGTTCTTCTGTGTTTACCCACCCTGCAGGCTTTTTAGTTGTGCAAATTAATGCATAAAGACAGGTGGAGGAAAATACTTTCAGTCTCTACTTCAGGGGTGTCAAACTCAAATACACAGTGGGCCAAA